AAATACACCACCCTCGTAACTATCATCAACTTCAAATTCGGCGAAACTGCCATTGCTAGCTTCTCACTCATCCATTTCCTTCGTAGCGTCAACTCCGCACCCCACAGGGCCCCGTTTCCATATCTCGCGTTTGATCTGCTCCACCCCCTCCAACCGAGCAAAGTCGCCAACGTGCCTGCCAAATTTCTTCGACTGCCTGCCCCCTTCCTCAGCTGAGCTCAGGAGTCTCCTCCCTATTTATACGAATTCGGCTACAAGTATACCAAGACCAACGAAAATTTACCGAAATTTCCTCTCAATTAAATGAGAGGAAATTCCGGTAAATTCTCGGTTTTTTTTAATTTCCGGGAAATTGAGTCAATTTCCCTGCCTATATTTTTTCCAACCTTACCACGCCCTATAACTCGCCGTAGCCTTGCATCCCTCAGGCCCGTCCGAGCACTCCATACAGCGCGCCTCAGCTGGACACCACCCTCGGAAATCATCAAAGTTAGTCGCGGTGTACGCTCTGCACGAGTCGTGAACCTACTACCATAATTCTCACAAAACGATGTGTGAACTTTACTCACCGCGCCGTAGGTATAGAAGAAATCATAAACGCCGTATTTATCACCGCCATAACAATCGCCGCCACCACGACAGTTAATAACCTGCATTACGATGCGTCGATGTAATCCCAGATAGATAACAGTATTTCTTAAAATATTTCTGCATTGGAGTTAACCCGAAATATGAAGAAAACACTAGTGAAAAACATATTTCACGACTACTGCATACCGCGAGTATCGGACTTCTCATCGAGTAATATGCCACTTCACGTAAAACGGGTGAAACTCCTATTTAATACAGCAAAAACCGGCGATCTGTGCGAGCGTCAATGTTATCATTCTCAAGACAAAAACTCATTGTAGTATATGAACTCCTATTTGTCGGTGCACCTCTACCACACTAATATTCAATATTCCCATATTGTCAACATAGCAATTTTATACAAACTCTATATAAACTATCATTGGAGTTTCCCCAGTCAAATGAAAAACATATCTCACAATTCACTTTACGGAAACCAGTCGCGATATCAATCACGAAAACATATACGTCTTAAATTTATATATAAAGTATCACGCCACTTCACGTGAAACTCCAATGTAGTCTATGAACTACCATTTGTATATTTACCTCTATCCGATATTCCTATCCAGTCTCAACAATCGAGTTAAACCCGTTTTACGTGAATTAACGTAAAACTCGGTGGAAAACGCGTATAGTAGTCGTGAAATGTGGTTTTCACTACGCCATTACAAGAACTAGTTGGTAAAAGCCAAGACCAAATTAATATATTCCCAAGTCAATTAAGTTAGCAACTCCCATTATGCCCGAAACTCGTCTCAGGCGAGTTTCGGTCCATTTGTTCAACTCACGCAATCGTTCTGGGCTTTTACTAACTTTTTCTTGAAATGGTGTAGTGTTTTTCATATCACTAGGGTGGAACTCCAATATATCAATTTCATACATATTCTATATAAACTATCATTCGAGTTTCACCCGTGATCTGCAAAAAATATTTCACATTCCACTTCGCGAAAAAACAAGTGTATTTTCGGCTGCGAAAACATATTTGCATAACGTATTACGCCACTTCACGTTAAACGAGTGAAAC